GTTTTTCATCACATGATCCAGAGGCCACACAACCAAAAACCAATCCAAGGGAAACACTGCTGAGGATAAAAAACAGCAGCTGGAGTCTCAGAGGGCGAGGTCGTGCCTTTCGGTGAACAACCACATCATTTTATTTAGAACTGATGTCAGAGCTGGTGGTTGAACAGGGAGGGGCTGCCTGTACGGTGACACTGGGTATGTGCATGTTGTGTTCAAATGTGTGCGTGTGCGTGTGGTTGCATTTAACCAGCACATGTGTTGGGGGATGTGGCAGATGTTACAGAGGCAAGGATTAGTGTGTGTGTCTTTAAGTGTGTGTATTAAAAATATCTTTGCCACAGCAGGAAGCCACAGTGGCCAATTACAGTGCAGCATCTGGGCTTGCACACATTTATTAGTGTGTGTGTGTGTGTGTGTGTGTGTGTGTGTGTGTGTGTGTGTGTGTGTGTGTGTGTGTGTGTGTGTGTGTGTAGAGGGGATGGGGAGGTTCAGGCGGAGTTCAGGTTATTTACATCCTTGCATGTTGAGTTTCAGTAAATGGTAAAGCATGTGTGTGTGTGTGTGTGTGTGACAGTGAGAGGCTTTGTGTCACAGCAGCAGAATTTAAACACACACCATGAAGAAGGAGACAGAACAGGAGAGAGAGAATTAGAGGATACGATAGAGTAAATACAATGTAGCATAGTAGACAATGGTGAGAATGGAAAAGGCCCTCTAAGGATGGATGGGAGGGTAGGGGAGGAAAACAAAATACATGCTCTGTCATTTCCTGCAGAGATGTGATACCTTGCTCTTTTACTCTCCACACTCTCAGGAAAGCAACAAAAGGTACAAGCCCACATTTTTAGTCTATTGCATAATTCCCATTTGGAGTCTGTTGAAAGCTAATTCTATAAAAATTTTTTCCAATTTCAATTAAATCAATTACTTGGCTGACTGAACTGAACTGCTGATTGACTGCGAGTCATTGGCAGACCTGGGTTCACTTTAATTCCATTTGAATGAATTGAAGCGACACTGGAACATAAAGTTTATGTCGTGAAGTTATGTTTTCTTTAAAAAAAAGTCACAGAATTATCAAGTTTTGTTATTTTCTGTTGATTTCCCATCATCTAATTATACGCGGGAAGAGACCGTTCTTACTGTCAGTATGAGTTGTGACTGTAGTTTGGGTATGGTTGGTTCACTTAATTAAGTCCTGATAGAGTATAAACATTTCTGTTTGCTGTTGTTTCCTAATTTCCGACTTGGGTCATATAAATCTTGGTCCACTGTCATTATTATTATTGTTATCTTTAGTTAAATAATCAAATATCTCATATAAGGCCAAGGTACTGAGAATGTGTGTGTGCACACCTACACAGAAAAAACATTACAAAAACAGAGAAATAATAATTAATCACTTGTGCACTTCTAATCCTTTGTAGTAATTACGGGAATTAAAGTAGAAACCCAATTTTAATTGAGCTGCTGAGACAATAAAGCATTATAATTACTTTGTAGAATATAAGAAAGCAGCTACTACAGGAGGCACTAGGTTATTGATGAGCGGAAAAGTCTGCTGTATTGCTCCTAATTATGATTAGGACTATGCGAGATCATGCTGGCTACCAGATATTCACTGATATGATCCAGCCCACTAATACCTGTATGCTCATCCGTGATGAGAGGATTTTGTGGTATTAAAAGGTTTTTCTCAAATTCAGTGGAACATTTTTTTAATCTAATGAAAATATCAAAGCTTTGGGTCAATGCCGCTGCAGCAACCAGTTCTTTTTAGTGAGTAATGGTAAATTGAAGTCTCACCATGTTGTTACTGAGAGGCTACTGTGGGGACAAAAAGGATGGCGCCAAATGATTGGAGATGTTAAAAAGAAGTGTCATGAAGCTTTACATTAGATGGAGCAGGGAGAAAAGGAGGAGAAAGGGGTAGCAGAGGAAGATGAAGATGTATTCAATGAGTAAAAAAGCTCTTAAATAACTTAAGGGCAACTCCAATCGACCATGTCATCAATCAAGGTTTTCCCGTGTGCGAGGCTGAGGAGAGAGTCCACTCTAATGTGAGCACATCGACAAGTGGCTTCCATTATTCATGCGTTCAGTACAGATACTGTGTTGGCAGCACATTTCGCACAGCACACCTTCGTTAAAAAGCTTGCTTGTGTGTGTGTGTGTTATATAAGATAAGAAAGTGTAGGACTGTAAGTGCACTTTACTGGATACCCTTAACAAGTGTGATGCATTATTCCCCATTCATTCTCCAGAGTAAAGCACAAATTCATCCAGGTTTTCATGTCAGACTAAAACACTAAATTACAATATACTGTATGTTGGAGATCAAAAATGTTATAATCAAAATAAAATCATGAATAAAAGCAAATAATTGTCTACACCAGAATAATCCACACAAAATATTTTTCCTCTGTTCATTGAGTTTATTAACAAATTATATCTACAATTAACCTTACAAACCAAAAACCAAAAAAATACACATAACGTACAATGGGAATTCCTAAATGCATAAAACTTTCTGAAGGTGGTCACGTTCAGTCTATCAAGAAATAATTAAGAATGTGCTCTGACATTATTAAATGACATTGAGATTGCATTTCCATTTTTAATTAATTGAATGAAAGTGAAATGACCCCAGTCCTGCTGCGATAATTAGCTGTTAGGCAGCTCATATAGAAAATCTATTGGTCTCGAAGAAAGACTAATGTCTCTGGGTGCAGGCTGTCTATCCCATAAATATGGCCATTTTTTTAAACTGACCAGCACAAGGAAGCACAAGAAAAGCTGGCCTGTTCATTCAGTAAAAGAGAGAGAGAATGATACAGAGTATAGATCGCTGCAGTGGATATATTGCTGTACAGAGCAGAATGTGCTCATCAGGGCAGAATTAGTCTATCAAGTACCGTAAGATAAAGCATGTAAAATATCCAGTCAGATAATGCATGGCCCAGCCTATTGACTGCGCTCCATAAAGCATCTCAATGTGAAGGTTATTTGTCTGTCTGTTTGTTTGTATGCGTTGAAGGGGAGAGAGGGCTGTTTTGATTCTTTACTTTCTGGCCTCATTGAAATTGCATTAGATTTATTTAAATAAAAAGACTAAAATAGGAACTTATGTTTTAATCACTTCTGTCCTATCAGAGTTGCAGCTAGAATTGCCTCCAGGGGTAACTACCGCCGGAGCCGAGAAACATATTATCTCGCTGATGAAATTCAAATACAAATGAAATGAAAAACTGTTTCATTATATAAAGGTTCATTTCTGTTCAGTGTATACATCTTTTCTACTCTACTCTGTTATGAGGAAAAACACCACCATCAGCACAGACAGGCACAGTACTGAATGTCTATGCAGTTCAGTCATCCAACTTTATGCCTCATGCAGGCAGGCCATAATGCACACCTGTTTCTGTAGGGAGTCAGCATTCAGGTAATCAGTTCAATTAGCCATATAATCATGACCGAGCTGCCTTCTCCTTATTAACAACAACAAATAAATGATAAATAAGTAAATAAAGTTAAAACAATAATTTACACACACTCTGTGGCTACAGTTAACCACCCCAGCGCCTCTTCTTGGCCTCAACCTTGTCTTGTGTTCCTGCACTCTGCTGTTTCCACTTACTGTTTCTCCATGTGTAACTACTGCCCCCCAGTGGTCATAGCACCTCACTGCCCCCATAGTTGCATTGCAGAAGGGACACACTTATGATACAATACAAGGTTTTAATTAGACCAACAATCTTTCTTCTCTCTTAGTGCATAGAAATTACCAGAAACAATCCCCTCTCCACTCAAAAGGTATTTTGTGTTTTGTTCACTTTGATGTTTGACCTTTACTGTGCAGACTGACACAGAGTTTGACACTAGGAGGCTGTTTCCATGTTCAAGGGGAAAGTTTCTCTGTGGTCACCTGCTCACCTTAAATGTGTGTGCTAACATGTGTGATGTGGACACTTAAACCTGCCAGTGCACAAACAGTAAGAATGGACTGTACAGTGAAGTAGAAGACATCTTGTACCAACATACCTTTGCATATTCACAAATACGCAAATCATTACCCAAGGCAGACTACTAGGCATCTTTAAATTGACCTCCATTGGTTTCAGTTCACATCACTGGAAAGGCTCGATTTTCAGATTAAAACTTGAGATACAAAATGCATATTATGTAGGTCACATTATTGTTAATGTGTAAGTGGGAAACATAATAACACAATACAGAGATGCCTTTTTAATGGATTAGTATCAAATTACACTATATTAACATTAGCTAAAAACAGACATTTCCATTTTAAATTATGTTCCATTTTTGTGCACTCCAGGGAATATCAATCAAACTTGTGTTGGTTTATTAATTTTAAGAGTGGTGCTAATCTATCTTAAACCATAACCATTTACTTGTTTGCCATCTGGGTTTTCTCTTTTTAATGTTGTCATCCTGTTAAAGTAGGTGGATTGCCCAACTCAAGCGAGACGGAATTTCAAATTAATTTGGAAAGTATTGCTGAAAACAATGATGGTCTGGAATGTTACATGTCAACCTAAATACTGGTCCCTCACACATCTTTTCTTCTGGCCTATCTGCATCGTTTATCAGTGTATCTGCTCCTCTTCTCGCTTAACCTGTCTCTGTAAGAGACTGTCGCCTCTGCATCAGTTCAAATGAGTAATGTAACATCATGGCTTCTACAGAGCCTTTATTACTTAGTTACACAATAACTAATATAAAAAAGCAGTGACAGAACAATAACCCTAGCAGATAACTATCTATCTAACTATTGTTTCTAGTTACAAATTGGCTCTCCAGTGTAAATCTGTTAACTTTTTAAATACCCAACTTGTGTCAGTGATTTTTAAATAAAGGCGAACGAGACAGGGCACAACTCAAATGTGTGTTTATGCAATTCTTCTTAATGTGTAAGCTGATTTACAGTAATTATCAGTTCTATCAGAGGGGTGTCCTTGTCGGAATCTGGGACAGGAACACAACTTCCTCTGCAACAGCGACAACCTGACTGAAAGCACACAGACTGTCTGCGTCATTGCGCCATGGAGAGAAACACTGTGGTGTCGGCCTGCAGGACTCCCTCAGCACTAGAATGCAACATCTCGACCTCCACGCTGGCCTTCGACCAGCACTTCACCACAACTGCCAAAGGAATACTCCTCCTGGCTGAGATAGTAAGTGTGAATATGGATTTCAAGATGTTTGAAGAATGTATCATTGACAATGTTCAGTGGCTTTGAAATGGCATCATCACAACAGAGCCGATGGCGAAAAGTTGATATTGGAACAACTGATTATGTGTTACTGTCAGGAAGTGGCAATAAGTCTGATGTTTACGAGAGACATTAGAAGAGAAGATACGTGTGTTAGAGTTATATTAAAAAATGTTCTTTGCAGGTGATGCAGAAATACACACACACACACACACACACACACACACACACACACACACGGAGACTGGAGACAACTTAATCTGTGATTGGGTTGTTTCTAATCTGCAGCAGATCACTTATAATGGCAAGTTTTGTGTTAGAAAAAAAACATTTAGTAATTACTATCTTTTTGTATAAAATGGATTTGAAATTTAAGATCTATAAGAGCATAAAGGGATGATGGATGGAATATTTCTCAGACTGTATTTAACAGAGTTACAGAAAAAACTGAGAACTATTTTTTTCTGTGAAAATAGGAAGTTAACCAAAAACACACAAAGCAAATCAACTCTTCCTCCTTTCTCTCCCTCATTGTGTCTCTTCCTTTCGAAATCAGCTGAGGGAAAAGTCAGGGCAGTCTTTCTGTAAATACAGTCTGGCTGGCTGCCATGCAGAGGCTGGGCAGACCGCATTTTGAATTGACTGATTGGAAATGATTGCAACAAGTTTTAGTTCAAATGGAATTGCAGACACGCTTAAAAGCTGTTTATTTTGGAAATTAGAGAACAGATGGTGGGTAATCATTATCATCAATAATCATTAGATGACGATAAAACAATGAAAATCCTGAAAACACTATGCTTAACTGCAAATACTCACTTTTAGATTAAATGAATGTGATAGGTGCACTGAAACAGCTCAGTAACTCTGCAGATTATACGTCGGTGACCTATGAGTGATTTCATTTCACTTCAAGTCATGATTCACATCAGAAAGCATTTTCTTCCAGCAGGGATCTTTTGTTGTGAAACAGGAAGGGTGGGTTTGGATTCGTGTTGGGAGGAAAGAGATTTAGTTCCTCACCACAACACTTTGGTTCAGTGGAGATCGGGCATGTTGGGTGTTGTGGAAATCACTCACAGAAAAACAAACAAATACCACACAGGCCTTTGAAAAACAAAAGACGAAAATGTTTTGTGATGTTTTTCTAGGTTGGTTTATTTTAATTGTCTATTGGCAAAGTTGCTCATGATCCACCGCTTATCTATCTCCTTTTCTGTCAGTCAGTATTTCATAGAAAGAACAACTGGGAAAAATATTTTCTTCATTCTGCGTTGATAGATAAAATAATGTGCTTTGGTCGGGTGGAAAACACACCAAAATTCCTGCGTCATACCTCAGTTGTCTCTCCTCCCCTCAATCTGAAGTAAATCAATAAGTGTGTTAATGTCTTAAATTCCTCTCCTCCAGGTGGGTGGTATGTTGGTGTGGATTCTGGTAGGGGGTACAGATTATTTTCATCTGTCTGCTCTTTGCTGGGTGATGTTCGTTGCCGTCTTGTGCTGGCTTCTGACCATTTGCCTGTTTATAATTTACCTCACTGGAGCCCACAACAGGATACCACAGGTCCCCTGGACTACACTGGTAACGCACACACACACACACACACACACACACACACACACACACACACACACACACACACACACACACACACACGCACACACACACACGCACACATGTACACGCACACAAAATACCCATGTTTTCTGCTTTATGTGTGATTCACTGTTTGTGTCTTTCTGTCTCCAGTTGCTGTGTTTTAACTGCAGTGCTATGGCTTTGTATCTGGTGACAGCAGTAGTAGAGGCTCTGTCAGTGAACCAGGCCATTAGGGGGCGACACAACTACAACTGCTGGGCAGCATCTGCAGTAAGAGCACTCCTGTCAATATGATCTGTTGAGGAAATGGAAAATGTTTGTCTAAAGCATCACTGAAGATTGTGTGTCCACATCAAACACAACCAGACAATAGCAGAGCAGGAAAACTAAAACAAATTACAAGAACTGTGTGTGTGGTGAAATGCTGGATTTGTGCAGTAAATTGACCGCACTGTGCAAAAGCAGATGCTGTCTTTAGTACGGCTACCACGGAGGACAGCAAGGTTATGTTCTCAGTATTGTTTTTAGGAATAATCAGCTGAAGAGTAGTTTGCATTCAACAGATGTGCACAAATACGAAAAATGGATTTAAAAGCTGATTCTTATATTTTTAGACTGATCAGACTTTTTAACTAGTAACAAGTAAAATCATTATTTCAGAAATTAGGTCAAGTCAAAGCAGCAGAGGCCAAGATATCCTAACTTTTAGTATCTAATATCTAAAATTGCGGATCCTACATTTCCCATAATGCAAGTGCATCTTTAATAGATGATTTAACTGATGATGACAATACCAGGTTTATCTTTAAAACTTTGGGAAGCTAAGAGAGCATTATGTACAGTTGGAGCAGGCTGAGCAGAACTCATGAGTAAACTGGATTTAGTATGTGTTTTTAGGATATAAAAAAAAAAAAAGATGATTATTATGGTTAATATTTCTCCACCAGAACTAGTAATTGAATAAAGAAAATTAAGAAGTAAAGCCACTATAAAGGAAACGTTTTACACATATCCAAGATGCCAGATGTAACAGTCTCAATAACTTTCAGGTGTCATAAAGCAACAGTTAAAAAATCAAACAACAAAAAAGAAAAAAGAAAACAAAGCTACAAAATCTTAACTAAAATACATGACATGACATTTGACACAGGTGAGATGAACATTCTCGTTCTCATTGTAACAAAAAGTAGCTGTGTACTATTTGGTTAACAGCCCTGTGGTTTTAGGGTTCATTTTGTTATTTCAGACTAAAGGGAACACGTAGCAATTGCCTGCCACATTAGTTGTTTTAAAGTAGGCTACCTAGCTGTGTCTTATGTGGACACACACATTTCACTAGTGCTTTGACTTGGATTGAGTAAATAATGAGCAAAATGTGCTTATTATAAGATGTTAAAATTTACTTTTACTCATTATTGTTGTTTCCCATCCTCTATTCTCCTCTATTCTTTTTTTTCTCATCCTTTCTCTACCTTTAACACTTCTTCAGTTCTTCGCATTTCTCACCACACTGTGTTATGCAGGAAGCAGTTACCTGAGCTACCATGCCTGGAAAACCACAGACGAGGGACAATAGAGACATTGTTCAGATTGTGCCTGAGTGCTCTGATACTCCATACCAGGACAAGGCTTCAGTCAAATAAAAACTTGTCTAGAAACTGTAAATATGCTATGATGGAATGCCTTTGTGTTTTTAGCAGACAGACATAGAGGCAGAGGGGGTATTTACTACCAAGAGTCATTTGTTACACACTAGTGAAGTTGAGTTAGTTGATAAAAAGTTAATTAAAAAAAAGAGAGCTAAACATGTATGTACATTTGAGGTTGCATGTTCTGTAGTGTCACACACATGAATGAACAGTGTTTACAATTCTGCACCCAGTAACATTTCATGTAAAGTCAAACGCATTTTGTCACTGGTGTGGTAAAAAAAAAAACAGTAAGATGCAGGACACACATTACAGTAAGAATGTGACATTGAGTATATACTATGTGAGATAGCAGACCATAGTCGGCCTTTTTGAAATTTTTTGCTTTAAATATTTTTCAAAAACAACCAAGTACAGCAGTAATAGCAGTATCACTTGCTTTTATTTTGATGTTTTATGAATTTTACATAAACATTTTACATTTACGAGTTTAAGTCATACTGAACAAAAAAAAAAGCCAGGAATGAAAATATTCAGAAATAAAAATCATATAGACACTAGAATACACCTGTTATCCTTACAATTAACATTCATAAGAACATGTGATTCTGATTGTGCAGTAAACCAGAGGTACTCATACAATCAAGTAGCATACAGAATACAAATAGGTAGGCTGATCATTCATAGTTTAGCATTATTAATCAATATTGGATGATTGATCCATTTTTCGGTCCTTCATTCAGAGCCACCTTTGGTGCTGTTGCTGTTTTGATCCATGAAGACCACTCCCCAGTGAGCTCCCAGTGATGTAATCCCATTGCCATTGTAGCGGCCACTCAGCAGTCTGAGCTCTGCGTCCGGGTGGGCTGGGTAGAAGTTAAAGGAGCTCTGCAACACAGCGTCAAAAGTTAATACATGGCCACAAGTATCAGTACTGATGACTGTAACAGACAGAAAGGGTAGAAGGTAAAGACCTGTGCTGGCTGGCCGACAATCAGAGTGCGCCCCCTGGAGGTCACAAAGATCAGCTGATAGATGTAGTTGGAGTGGAATTTACCAGAGATCTGAGAGTGTGAGCACATTAACACAGTTGTTACATGTAATGCATCCTGAAAAACATATGATGTATTTTATACATAATGATCGATGAATAGCCTATGGTGTAAATTTCAGAACATTTCTGATTTGCAAGAAAATGCTACTATACTACATATATTTCCAGGACCTGTATACTACATTTATAATACTTCCTTTTCCCTGGAACCATGCCAAACTAATATGATTGTATCAGTAAAATATCTGACCTGAACAATGACCTCCTCATCAAAAAGCTTCAGCTCATTCACAGTGCCATATGTGCGCCCAACCCGTGCAGACCAAATGTAGTCGTAGCGCAGCTGGATACTGCAAAGACAAACACAAGAGACAGGAATATGTTTAACGCGATGTACTTTTGCAAACTTGTTAAATGATTGAGAATTTTCACTATATCCACAAAATTGCATATTAGATAACAATGATAGGATAGTGTATTTATATGTTGCAGCCGCCCTGTTTTTGAACGAAGAGCTACTGACTGAACACCGTTATCACCACCGTCAGTGACTGAAAAGTGCATAAAGTATACATGTGGTGTAAGAAAAACAATCACTCATGCCTGCAGTTCAAAAATTCAAGACTCTTCCCCCATTTAATTTTTGTACAGTCCCTTTAACACATATGGACAACAAGGAGGAGAGACTGACCCAGTGATGTACGCGTTGCTAATCTCCCACACCCTGACAGCTGTGATCCTTCCCTCTCCGTCGGTGGAGAAGGAAGTGCCTGAACCACCTCCAACGGCACGAGAGTAGGAGTAGTGCACTAAGGCAGCTGGAGGAAGAAAAAGAGTTATAATGTAAAGGACAAGAGGAAGCAATTGCTATTTGACTCAACTTGAGAATTTATGGACAAAGATCTTATTAGAAGCTAGATATTGTATAAAAAGAATAAAATTGGTGTCAAAAGGTCTCTTACGTTTTGCCATGCAGCTGGCGCAGAGCACAGCAAAGACCAGGTAGGAAAACATTCTTGTGTGTGAAGGCGTCCAGGGACAAACACTGCAATCAGGAACCAATATATTATCACATGGTATCAACAGCTCTATGAATTTCTTTAGACATGAAACAAATATGAAAGTTGTTTTTTTAGAAGCAGTGGCTCAACAATTTACAGTCAGAGTAAATAATAATGCAATGATTCTAATTTAAATCACCAGCGCCCGCAGCCATAGTGAGATTAATAAAGTTGGTGAAAGGAATGATGACCTGCAGATAAGATGTTCAGACTCACCTGCAGTCGGGATCTCCTGAAACCAGCTTCGGTCCTTAGCAGAGGATGAGCTGACACTGTGACACTGGTACTTATATATCTATACCTCCCGTCCTCACCACCCACACCCACAGCAGGTGTATAGTTCTTGGAATCTGTCATTGAACCAGTAAGAGAAAGGCTCAGCAGGTTCAGCAACATATTTTACACCACACTTAAGGGAAATGTGACATGTTTGTAAACTCCACGCCGCTTTTGGGAAATGTTAATTATAAGGGAAGTACTTATTCATGAATGATCAATTATCAAGTCCTCATTGTTCCTCACTAATTTTTGAATGAACTAATCATTAGCTAATCATTAGCTACTCTATAAAATCTGAATATGAGTTACTCATTAATTAATGGTTTCCTAACAGTTCTCATTCATTCCTCATTTGTTCCTGAATAACTACTGATAGTTTTGTGGCCCTTAGTGTAAAGTGTTACCGAAACTATATCTAAGTTTGTCTTAATAAGATATCACAGCTCATATTGAGCTAGATATAACCAGTAACCAGTTACAACAATGGTTTGCATGATATCCCAGCAGAAGAACAAGATTATTTTCCTTATTTAAGACAGATAAGAGTGAGACCACTTGCACAACTTCTCAGTTTAAGAGAAAGAAGTCTTGTCCCAGTGTTGTAAATGAAGCAGCTGTTGAACATGTAGTGTCACCGTGCAGTGAAAAGATCTCAGTGAAAATGTGTATCCCTGCAAAGTTTGAAATATCAAAATGTTGTCTTTCACTGTGCAATGGTCTGTTGGATGTTGAGAAAATAATTTGGAAAATTTCTCTCAGAAAGCCTTTTTTTAAAATGACCTTTTTATTTATGTATGACACAGTCCTTCTTGTATGACACTTAAATACATTTAAAATGTTTCTCGTTAATTTAAATGTCAGTCAAAACAGGAATTCATCTCCAAATAATAGAATAGAGTAACAACAATGTCCTGTTAAAAGAGAGGAATGAAATCATCTGTCCAAGTTGATTGAATCAGATATGCCAGCAACACTGGATATCCTGCATGCATGAAACCAGGAAATGACACGAGAGGACAATGTCACAACACTGGTTCTACTGGAATAACCATTCATGTGTCATTAGTCATACTTCCCAACCACAAAACTTCAGACATGTGTGTGGGAAGACCCACAGACAAAGGGAGAACATAATTCATACATCACCAACAACATCAACACCAATCATGGCAGTACTTTTTTATTGAATGTATTATTTGCAGCATATGCATACAACATGGCCTATTTGATGTTGCATTCATGCTGTACTGTTTATACCTCATGAGCTGATAATATAGTGTAAATATTGTATTACTTTATTAATCCCACAACGGGGAAATTCCCTTGTCAAAGCAGCATTTTACGTGAAATAAATAAATAAATACAGATATAAAAAAAAACTATTGTAAAGTGGTAAAGCTATGGTATGGTGGTAATTTGAAAAACAGAAACTACAACATTGATCAGGTGTTGTAGAGTCTGACAGCGGCAGGGATGAAAGACCTGCGGGACCTCTCCTTCTTACACCTTGGGTGTAACAGTCTGCTGCTGAAGGAGCTACTCAGGGACCCCACAGTGTCATGTGGGGGGTGAGAGGTGTTGTCCATGATGGATGTCAGCTTCACTAACATCCTCCTCTCACCCACTTCCTCTATGGAGTCCAGAGGACAGTCCAGGACAGAGCTCGCTCTCCTGATCAGTTTATTGAGTCTCTTCCTGTCCCTGTTCGTACTGCCCTCTCTCCAGCACACCACAGCATAGAAGATGGCTAGAGCAACCACAGAGTCATAAAAAGTCTTGAGGAGAGCCCTGCTTACTCCGAAGGACCTCATTCTCCTCAGCAGGTGGATGTGAATCTGGCCCTTCGTGTAGAGAGCATGGGTGTTGTCAGTCCAGTCTAGTTTGTTATTGAGGTGGACACCCAGGAATTTGTAATTTTCTGCCACCTCAATGTCCAATCCCTGGATGTTCACCGGTGTGAAGTGGGATGTTTTCCTCCTGAAGTTAACAATCATCTCCTTCGTCTTGCTAGTGTTTAGCTGAAGTTGGTTGAGTTCACACCAGCTGACAAAGTCCCTGATAACAGTCCTGTATTCCAGTTTGTTCCCCGCAGAAACGCATCCAACAATGGCTGTGTCATCTGAGAACTTCTGGATGTGGCAGTGTGTGGAGTTGTGGGTAGAGTCTGAGGTGTAAAGGGTGAAGAGGAAGGGAGAGAGCACCGTACCCTGAGGGGCACCTGTGTTGAAGAGCACAACGTCAGACACACAGTGTTGGAGCCTCACATACTGTGGTCTGTTGGTGAGATAGTCTATTGTCCATGCAGCCAGGTGTTGGTCCACTCCCACACGCTTGACAGATAGAATTAATTGTAGAAATATTCTAGTTATACACATATATTAAAACCACATACACATACAGAAAAATAATTTAAAGTACATGCAGAAGATTGAATAAAGGAAGGTGCCAAATACAAATTAAGGTGCAATGCATTAATGAAAGTGCAAAGGACTTGCACTGAATAAACTACAGAATGGTACATCAATATCACTGTATTAATAAATGACAGGCCTGGATTATAATGGTGTTTTGATAATGATACAATGAAAAATTTCTACAGCAGTAGAGTACCTTGTGAGTGCATCAAAAACTAATGTGTGTTTTCATTGCTTCATAAAATAACACCATACCTACTTTTATCTGTTGTGAGTTGTTCTTATTCATACATGATTGCTATTGAGATCTATTGTGCAATGGAGCAAGATGGGGCTAGAACAGTCACATTACATTTTGGCATTGAAAACAAAACCTGAACTGAAAACTGGAAATATTGACAATGAAACACTTGTAGTTGTACTGGCACTGTAAGATATATTAAATCATTGATAATTAAGCTGTCAGTGTTTTTATTCAGTGTCACTGGTTTTCAGTTTCAACTTTCTCTCTTACTAATGAAAAAACCCTAAACTAAGCTGGCTTGCTTCATGGGATTGGCTGATGGGATGATTTGTAAATGACAAGCTAGATCCAAATGAAACATAAAACCATTACACATAGTAACGTTTTTCCAATTATGATTATAACCTATTTTCCAGTTTTCAGTCTAGTATATGTCTCCTCTGGCCGATGCTCAGGACGATACACACTCTACGTGTACGGACTGTGTATGGAGTGTGACCACGAGGATGCTGACTGCAGTTCACTTAACGACCACTAGTGTCATTATTAACAACAGTTCTCTGAAAGTTACATGAAGAACCTTTAAAGCTCTTTTATTTGGTACATGAAAAAGTACTGGCAATGACAAACACATGCTTAGTCGATCCTTTGTTTAACTGCTATTTTTTTTATTTATTTCATTGTTAATAAACCATTGTTCCATAGACACAGAATTTTCCAGAGGTATTGATACAGAAAGAGGTAATATAATAATATTATCCACATGCACATATGTTGAATTAATCAGTATCAGTATAATACAGATTGTGCAGTAAATCACTGCTTTGTTTCCTTCAATGCTGCAGATGTGCAAAAAGATTTTGATTAAAGATTAACTTTCCAGAGGTACTCATACAATCAAGTAGCATACAGAATACAAATAGGTAGGCTGATCATTCATAGTTTAGCATTATTAAGCAGTATTGGATAATTGATCTAATTTTTCGGTTCTTCATGCGGAGCCGCCTTTGGTGCTGTTGCTGTTTTGATCCATGAAGACCACTCCCCAGTGAGCTCCCAGTGATGTAATCCCATTGCCATTGTAGCGGCCACTCAGCAGTCTGAGCTCTGCGTCCGGGTGGGCTGGGTAGAAGTTAAAGGAGCTCTGCAACACAGCGTCAAAAGTTAATACATGGCCACAAGTATCAGTATTGATGACTGTAACAGACAGAAAGGGTAGAAGGTAAAGACCTGTGTTGGCTGGCCGACGATCAGAGTGCGCCCCCTGGAGGTCACAAAGATCAGCTGATAGATGTAGTTGGAGTGGTATTTACCAGAGATCTGAGAGTGTGAGCACATTAACACAGTTGTTACATGTTGTTAACCTGTAGTCGATCCCAAGTGATCGTATTATTTTAACATGAATTTCTAACAGTGTTTCCCACAGTCTAATCTGTCCCACCCCAATTTCATAATAAACCAAAAATATTTTTACATAATAATTCTTAATAACATAAAATATCTCGAAAACAAAACTTCCAGTCAGTCAGGTGCTGGTCGGTCGCAGGACCCTGTAGTAAAAAATCAGGATTAATCTTAGCTTCCTCAGAGTATCTCTCACTCCCTTTCAGTCAGCAAAACTGATGCTAGTATTTGATGAGCTGGGAGTGAGAACATGTTTGGTTCGTCAACAAATTATGTATTTTATACATAATGATAGATGAATATAGTGTAGTACAAATTATAGTACATGACTCACCTTTCTTGGACCTGTACAATAACAAGTTAGTATAACAATTTAAAAAATCCATTACATTTTTATATATTATAAATAATTAGTACATTTAGATGGTTTAAATTATCAGATAAATAAATGCATTTGTATTGTCAAAAGGTTTCATTATACACAGAAAAGATTTTTAGAATAAAAGTTTCTTTGAGTCACAATGCTCTTATCAGACTTCCCCTGCAACAATAACAAACTAATACTCTCTGACCTGAACAATGACCTCTTCATCAAATAGGTTCAGCTCATTCACAGTGCCATATCGGCGACCAACTGTTGCTGACGAATTATGGTCATAGCGCAGGTGGATACTGCAAGGAAAAACACAGGAGAGAGGAAACTGTTAAATTCCAAAGATGACATCTACTAGAAGACACGAGGGTAGTAAATGAAAGAAGAATGATCAGACAGGAAACATTACGAACAGTCATAATGTACTGTAGCTGGATATTTTAATGAACTGTGCAAGAACAATTAAACAGTGGAGCAAATGCATAGTGCAAGTAATAGAAACTATTCTAAACAAAAAAATCTTTATTTTAACAACTTTCAATGAACCCTCCCTTTGAATTAATTGAAAGGCTGCAGTTAGAAAAAATCCAGACCACTCTCCCTTCAGCAAAAATACAAAATCCCTCCCCTTTTATGATCCCCCCTCAATACTCAACAAGGATGAGAGACTGACCCAGTGATGTATGCGTTGCTAATCTCCCACACCCTGACAGCTGTGATCCTTCCCTCTCCGTTGGTGGAGAAGGAAGTGCCTGAACCACCTCCAACAGCACGAGAGTAGGAGTAGTGCACCAAGGCAGCTGGAGGAAGAAAAAGAGTTATAATGTGAAGGACAAGAGGAAGCAATTGCTATTTGACTCAACTTGACAATTTATGGACAAAGATCTTATTAGAAGCTAGATATTGTATAAAAAGAATAAAATTGGTGTCAAAAGGTCTCTTACGTTTTGCCATGCAGCTGGCACAGAGCACAGCAAAGACCAGGTAGGAAAACATTCTTGTGTGTGAAGGCGTCCAGAGACAAACACTGCAATCAGGAACCAATCTATTAAATATATTATCACATGGTATCAACAGCTTTATGAATTTGTGGTTCAACAATCTGACTTGCAGTCAATGATAACAGTAAATAATAATAAAAAGATTAGAATGGAAATAAACAGAGCCTGCAGCCAAAACCTGCAGCGGCAGACGTTCAGACTCACCTGCGGTTGGGATCTCCTGAAACCAGCTTCAGTCCTGAGCAGAGGATGAGCTGACACTGTGACACTGGTACTGCACTTATATCTTTACCTGCTTTCCTCAACACACGGTATGGTTCTGGGAATTTTTGCAGATGAGCAAGTTCAACAACATATTTACTCTACGATTACAGGAAAGGTAAGAATACGTACACTCCATCTCTGTCTCTCATAATTTAGCCTAGGGGTTCCCAAACTTTTCCATGGTGCCCCAAATAGTATAAGCTTATGGTCAGGGCATTCCTTTTGCAAGACGTCTTTGAAAACCCATTGACAATTCTACAACAAATGTAAAAAAAAAAAAAAAAACCCCAAAGAAATAATTAGAATTAGAAAATATACTGTATAATAATTAAATAATAAATAATTTTTAAAATAAAAATAATTTTAGTTTTTATTCCCTTCCCTCAAATTTGCTAAGGCCGCCATGGTGCCCCACAAGGCTTTGAAAAACCCTGATATGCTATTCCGGATCTTTCGATCATATCACATATTCTCATTACCAGATGGAGTTTGCAACAACTTCTTGTCCATGTTGGTTTAAAAGTTGCGTTGTGTTCATTTCATAGATGATTGCAATGGACAGAGACAAGGAAATCGTCCCTGCTGTAAACAGTCATGGGAGAATGCAGGAAGTCTTGTCGTTATCATGTAATATGACTGAAATCCCAAGAAAAGCTAATAAATATGCTTTGAAGTGAGAATTTTCAATGACAGGAATTCTGTATTAATATATTTATACTATTTAAAAAAAACAATTAACAAAAAATAACAACAGAATTAAGAGTGGTCTTCTGTTTATCTCAGTTAGGCTTATGTGTTGAGATTGGATAAACAAACCAGTAACAAAACACAACAATTCTTTTTTTCAGGTGATTTTACGCTAATGAAAACATACCTATGAATCTTATATTCCATTTCTGCCATTAGATCCTCTTAAATGTCCAAATATTCTCTGTTCCTGTGCAATGTTCTCATCAATTACAATGTTTGTCAAACCAAGAATTAATCTCTAATCTAATGCAATCAGACATGCCTTGAACACTGAATATCCTTCAGTGAAAAATGAAACCAGGAAAGGACATGAGAAGACAATGCCACGGCACTGGTTTAACTTTTTCTACTGGATTAACCATTCATCTGTCATTAGTACACCATCCCAACAAAACTTCAGACTTGGTCGTGAGTATTTTTGTGAAAAAGCCACAAACATAGAGAGAAAATAATTAAACAAATTCACAAACAACAATCATGGTAGTATTTGGTTGGATTTCTCTTGAATTAATTATACAGCATGTATTTACAACATGTTGTATGGATGTGCTGGATTGGTGTTGTTTATACCTCATGAGCTGATAATATAGAGTAAAACATATTGCATCACCATTTACAGTCGTTTCCAGCGGTACCTGAATCAGCGGGGCCTTGACCCCACCACCCCTTGGTTTATTTTATGCTTTGTTTATTGTTTTGTGCTACGAAAGTGTGTTTTTGCCTGTCTGCAGCATAATAAAATCACACCCTGTCTGCCTTTGTCTGGTGTGAGTTATTTTTATCTACACATGATTGTCACTGATGTCTATTATGCAGTGGAGCAAGACAAGGAAATAGTCTCAATTGTAAACATTTGTGAAGCCATGAGAGAATGCAGGAAGTCTCGTGGTTACCGCTTCTGTCAATCTGCCAGATGCAAAGTTGAACAGTTGAACTTCTGACATGTGTCAATAAACTATGATGAAATGCCCTCTGTTAGTCACAAAATACATCAGCAGGAAAAAAGAGGATAGGGATTATAGAAATGGTCCAAAGAGAAGGGTGAAGTTCATAAATTCATCCATTGTTTCTTTTTCAGCTGATCTTCTGCTCTGAAACACCTGCTGAAGCTAAATAACTAAATAAATCCCTCGGTTCTATTTTGAACTGCAGATCATGTGTATCTCTGAACATCACAAGTGTCGACTGCTTACCTGCTGCTGTTGAACAGTCTGGTGCATTTATCTGGTGATTCTGGTAGGAAATTAGCTTTTGATCATCTTACATCAGATTCCTAATAAACTTCACAAACTTTTACTGATAATGTTTTTTTATGTGGCGTACTGATATCTGTGTACTTATTCAACCAGTTTGACAAAACCATTATCTCGACAGATGCATTGTGCATTGTGCATTTGCACATGGACCAGGACTGCTGTTGGTTTGATATCTCATTAGATCTGTAGATCTCTAGATGTAAGATAGGACATCTTCTACCCTACAACGTCACTGCTGCGACTGGGCTGACTGGAAAATAGTTCTATGACTGGCCAAGGTGCTGACAGACAGAGTGAGAAAAAGAGACACAGCAGAATCTTACCAAAAGCTTTATAAGATTTGGAGTAATCCTGAGAATACATCCTCCATTATACACTTATTTAAACATTATAACCCCATGTCATATGACATGTGTTGTTTTAATGATAGTGACAGCGATTTAAGTCCTTCACATGCTTGAGGCCTAACCTGTAATCTGAACAGTGCTATAATCAAGCAGAGAGAAAATCATAGTGATGTTAAGGGGCAGAATATCAATGTTTATTTATTTAGACTACATCTCAGCATTGGTAACGTGTCCCACATTGCCCCACACAAACATACTCTCTGTCCTACATTTGGTTTGTTGCACAAAAGGAGCATCTAGCGCATTGCAAACTTTTTTTGCCCTGGGTTTTGCCTCAAGGCTACACACAGGCTGCACTAGCTTGTTAGTGCTGTCTGCAGCAGTGATGGGAATTCTGTTTCTTTTTAGTGAACCAGATTATTTGGCTCAGCTCAGCAAGAAGAACTGGCTCTTTCAACTACCAACAACCACTTCTGGCTTTTATAATTCATTCAATGTTTTCATCTATGATTGGTAGCTGTGTGCACATACATCAATTCAATTATTATATGGATTTATTTTTGCTAAACCTCATTTCCAGCATACCATAATTTTACATTATGCTTGATAAAAAAAATCTTAATAAACGTAAAAAACATCAAACACATGTGTACTGAACATTTTATTTATGTTGAACTATGTTTTGTACGTGGGTGACTGGAGCGACATACAAACATTTCACATTTCAATATGTTATAGGATCATCCTATTTTTCTTTCTTTGTTAAACAAAAGAAAGAAAAACGAAATTGATTCTCAGTCTATTCGTTGATGACACATCACCTATATGCCGCCTCAGGTTTGATTAAGTTTCCACCTCTTCTGGATGTTTTGTGAATTTAAAGCAATCACGCAATCTGTATTTGTATTTGTCCAACTTCATCATTACTTCTAAGTGCTAGATTGATTTATATATTTATCATATATTAATTCATTTATTTTTTTACTTCATTGTATCTTTAGTGTGTACCCCCCACTTCACATCTCCACCCTGTGAACGGCCCAGGACAGGAGGACTCTGTGATTAAAACTGCCCAGGAGATTATTGGCATCAGTGATACTGATGAATTGAGAAACCTGCGCAGAGCCAAAAGGATTCAGCACCCACTCCAGCCACAGCCTGTTCACCCTGCTGCCATCCTGGAAGAGTTAGGTAGGTAGAAGATAGGATTTAAAGGTCCAGTCTGTGACATTTAGGAGGGCAGAAATGGAATATAATATGCATTGATGTGTTTTCATTGTTGTATAATCACCTAAAAATAAGAATCAGTGTGTTTTTGTTACCTTAGGATCTACACACACCACAGGTCACCTTCTGTAGCAGCCGCTCATGTTAAATCGGCATGTTTCTACAGTAGCCCAGAAGGGACAAACTAAACACTGGCTGTAGATAGGACAGTCCATGTTTTTTGCACATTTCGCAGCCACCGTTGTTTCACCCTTACGCTTGAGTGAGCTGCAATCTGCAACTATACCACTAAATCCTACACACTGGTCCTTTAAAAGTCAGATGAACATAAGCACAATAATATCCAAACCACAAAGTACAGAAATGAGTAGTAAAAATGCTATTTATTTAACTCAATTTAATCAAAAACAGATCATTCACAACTTCACTCACTGTGCTCTTTCATGCCTCATCTCCCCAGTAGATGTCCTCATAGAGCTTCTGAACGTCCCTTTACCTGCATGCACAGCTGTTCATTCATCATTGAGCCATAGTTTGTCGTCAACCAAGCTATCTCATTATTTTTTAAATTTTTTTCTTTTACTATTGTTCTAACTAGTTGCTGATGTCTTGCTGTAGTTGTTTGTTTGATATTATATGAGATTTTCAGTCATGCTTTAAACAACTGAATTGGCATCTTTTCTTTATGTTTCTAGGAAAATTAAACTTGAATAGCAGGCCTTTTTAACAGCAGTCATTATAACTTTTCATAGTAGGCAAAATGCAGGTGTTCTATTTAAGTGACAGTGAGCCAGCATGACCAACACCTGGACCCTGAACCTGAAACAGCTAAAAACGGTCTACTGGCGGTTACATAGCAAACATAAAATGCTGTCATCTTATCAACTTTGGGGTATTTATTCCTCATACTGTTGCAAACCACTTCCCATCTTTTTTTTTTATTGAAGGAAACAGATTGCAATGCTTCCTGAAACTCAGAGGCAATATCCTAAACTTAGAGAGACTGTTATATCTAAGTGACATCTCATGTAGAAAAACTACCACTGTCTCTTAACGTCTTGTTATGTATAAATAATTAGTGAATACAGTTTGATGGTTATGTTTATTTATTAAAACAGCTTTATTCATGTGCATTTTATTTATTTGTTTATTACCATTTAGTGCTTCAACTGAGATGTTAAATCCCCCTCGACCTTAATAGCAGTGCTGTTACTGATGACGTCACAGAACTGATCAAGCAATCACATTACCGAACGTGTTGCTTTGGTATGAAACAGAACTGCCAAATTTTCTTTAATCCCAGTGAGTCTGAGAACAAATACGTCTCATTCCTAGGAGTGAGCATGGGTTTCATAATGGTTTTATAACACAGAGAAAGTGTTTTTGCTTTACACATCAAGTGTTGCTAATAATAAATCTGTATATTCTATATCTGTCAAGGTAAATGAAAATAACACAAATAAAACATTTTACATAACACTTCTAAATAGTTACAAAGTGATTTACAGAAACAACCTGGGAAACCTTGATGTTTTCACATGTTTCAATATCATATCATTTAATATGCAAAGTAGAAGGAAAATAATCCAATCTCTTAAATACAAATGTACAATAAAAATATGTACAATATATTCTATATATAAAGAGCTGTACAGTGAAATAAATAAAATAAAATGTACAATACATAATATTGAATAAGGAATGGGAACTGTTCACAATGTAAAGAATATGTGCGTATAGACAGATATGTTAACGTGGTGAGTGATGTTGGCTGTGGAGGATAACCAGATGAGCAGTTGTAATAATCATAATACGATGGTAAGTCAATGTGCATTGTAGACACTAAACCAAACGGGGAAACGTTGTTTGATAAACAATGTAATTAATGAGAACATTGCGCAGGAACCTAAGAATATTTTGACATTTAAGAGGATCTATTGGCATA